AAGTTTCAGCTTTCTAGCTCCTCCCATTTCCGGGTTAGTTATTTTCGCGCCAAAATTTCCACGTGCTCATACATAGGCCCCGGGCGATTCTAAACACCTGAATTTGCTCGTACATGAGTAGAGAACATTCCCTTAAAGTTTCAGCTTTCTAGTTCTTCCCGCTCCTGGGTTAGTGATTTTCGCGCCAAAATTTCCACGCGCTCGTATGTGGGCCGCGAGCGCTCCTAAACACCTAATTTTGCTCGCACATGAGTAGGAACATTTCCCCAAAGTTTCAGCTTTCTAGCTTCTCCCGTTCCCGGGTTAGTGTTTCCCGCGCCAGAATTTCCACGTGCCCGCACGTGGGCCCTGGGCGCTTCTAAACACCTGATTTTGGTCATACATGTGTAGGAATCATTACCCCGAAGTTTCAGCTTTCTAGCTTTTCGTGCCGCCGAGTTAGTAATTTTCGCGCCAAAAATTTTCATGTGCCCGTACGTAAGCCCCGGGCTGCCCTAAAGAGTTGAATTTAAAAACTTTTGGCCGCACATGAGTAGGGAACAGTCCTGCAGAGTTTCAACTTTCTAGCTTTTCTCGTTCCTGAGTTATGAATTTTCCCGTCAAAATTTTCACGTGCCCACACGTAAGCCCCGGGCAGCCCTGGGCAGCTGAATTTGAAATCTTTTTGCCATACATAGGAGAGGAACATTACCCCAAGGTTTCAGCTTCCAAGCTTTTCTCGTTCCCGAGTTAGCGATTTTCGCGCCAAAACTGTACGCGGGGCCCAGACGTGCATGAGGGTTGAAACTGCGATCCTGGGATGGTACCGGCTGGGGAACATACTGGCAAAATTTCAGCTTCAAAGCTTGCGCGGTTAGCGAGTTGAAATACCCGGACAGACGAACACACACACACATATACAAACATACACACATACACACACACACACACACACACACACACACACACACACTGACAGGGTCGTTCCAATATGCGTTTTTGTTGCCTGTTAGCGCTCTAGCGCTGCACGGCAAAAACGCATAAATATACCACACAATATCTCGGCGAGCTGGAGTTCTAAATGGCAGCTTCACATCAAGCAACACCAAGTTGCCAACTATCATTTATATACTGTGAAAAGCAGTTGCTTTATATATTTATGCTTCTTCTTTAAGTGAATTGGCAGCTCTTCCATCTTCAACATTCCGGATTCTCCAGCTCTCCATCCTTCATACTTCCATTTTCAAGCGTTCAGCTCTACATGTAGATCATAAATTTCACGACGCTTGTTCAATTTTATACGACGTAATTAGCTTGTAACCATACTAACTTGGCACTTTGATCAGCTGCAGCTCATAGCGTCTTCTCTAGTTATGCAGCTGGCAATATTTCAGTTGCTGCGACCAATACTACATTGCCTGATGGTCAGTTCGCTGGCGGCCCCACTTCGTCTTCTGAAGAAATTACCAGCTCAGCGCTTCTCTCGACGAAAACACTTTGATAAGGCATTAACCGTTCCGATCTGTCGAACCGTCTGTGAGCTGAAGTTGTGATTTTAGTGGCGCACAAGATAAACCAGCATTC